TTACACTCTTCTCCTCCACTGTCCTGTATGTCACTTCCTGCTCATGTTTTCAGTATTCAACTATGTGAGTGATGACTCTGATTTCCAAGACAGTTTTGACTCGAGACCCACCTCAGATCATGAGATGTTAAACATAAACCGAGGAGTTTAAAGCTTTCTCCTAGATACGCGGATGATTGGAATGATTTCTCTGTTACACTGGTTGGATCTTTTCAACAAGAACTTGGGAGGAGTTCAACACCTGAACTTGGAGACATTCCCTCTCCATACCTGCCCCCACCCCAAATAATCATTTAAAAACAAAAACATGCACAGACACTTGCCACAATTTATCTCAACATACCCACTATGTAGCTCACTGTTACCTAGTTCTTTAGATCTTTTCATCCCCTCATTCCCTAACAGTCCCATGTTGGGGGTGGAGGTTAGAAGGTCATTTGCTTTTGTTTTAATTTGTTTTATTTTATTTTATTTTTTCAGTTTACTCATTGCTGCGGATATGTGGATCAGCTTGCTTAACACCTATTCAATATCATTTTGGTCTGCTTTTGTGTACTGTAGAGTCTGGAAAGCTAAAAAGTACATTTTCTAGACTCCTCTGTAGCTGGGGGTCCGGGTATGATTTAAATTTCACCAAATGGATGTACCTTAGTGAGATTTTGATTTGGAACTGAGTTACATGGGAGAGAAGCAGGGATTCAATTTTGCTGGTATTAATAGTGGCCAATGCAGAGCTGGCGATAGTGGAAGCTTTTAAACTTGTTTTGTAACAATTTTTACTGTATACTGTGGTACCCTGGTATACAGAGTAGTGTCGGGAGTTATTCTTGGAAGTCAGCCTGGAGTCTGTTTCTTCAGGTTTCCCAATGCTTGTATTTAAACAAGCTAGAGTAGATTCTCATGTTTGCAATTAAGAACTTTACTGTGCTCATCTTCAGATGAGAATTTACATAATCTATTGAAATCGGGTGTTTGTCCTTAAATATTGGGACACATTCTTTTGGCTTCTCCCTCATTGTCCACTTATATGCTGTAATTTTCCTCCCAATGTTAAGCAGAAAGGCTAGTGTGCAATAACAAAGAATAAATCTTTAACAAAACAGTCCACACAAATAATCATATCGTAAGTGTAAAATTTCTCTTTGATCCTTGAGTTCCTTAAAAGCATGTGTTTTTAAATTTCCAAAGAGTGCCTTTTTCATGATATGTGTTAAAACTTGTTTTATGGCCTCACATAAAGTCAATTTTCCTACATGCTCCACATGCATTTAAGAAGAATGTATAACTAATAATTGTGAGTTGCAGGGTTCTGTATCTATGAATAATTTTTTTCTCTGCTTGATCTTCCAGGATGCTGAGAGAGTTGAATTCTCTCACTTGTGGGGATGGATTTGCCAGTTATCCTTTGTAGGTTTAGTGATTCTTGCTTTTAGTTTTTATGTTATTTTATTAGATAATTTTGTTTGGAATTATTATATGTCCATGATGAGTTTACTATTATTATCATATCTTATTATATCACATACCATCTTCATCCCAAAAGATGCATTATTTCTTAAACTTTATTTTGTCTGATATTTTATAGCATATATTATATCAACTTGTTTTTTCTTAGAATATTTCTGGTACATCTTTTCCATTCTTTTATATTCAGCCTTTCTGTTTATGTTTTAACGACTTCTAAACAGAATAAATGTATTTTAGAAATCACTTTAACTGATGAGTTTTCTCAATTTATATTTATTTCGATTACCGATGTATTTCGCCATTCCATTTTGTACTTTCTTTTTCCTCAGGTTTTCTTTCATCCTTTTCTTTTTTTTTTTTGCCTTCTTTTGGATGGCTGTCATGTGTACATGCAAAGTGAAGCATAGGAGAGCCATGTGTTTTCAGAATAAACTAGAAAGTAATTTAAAATTTCTGCTGTCAGTTCAATACAGGAGGTGAAGATGAGAGCAGTGGTTTCCAAACTTGGACTTCACAGATGAGTAAAATTTTCCCCAAAATGTTGATGACCACCAATATGGGGTTGCCAGCTTTTTATTTTGCCATTAGGAAACTAATAAAAGAGCCACAGCCACAACAACTATTATGACCACCAATATGGGGTTGCCAGTTTTTTATTTTGCCATTAGGAAACTAATAAAAGAGCCACAGCCACAACAACTATTATCTATCCTCACCATAATTTTATTTTTAAAAGGACCCTTAAAAACAATGGTTTAAAGTGTAAAAAACCATCGTCTTCGTTTAGAGGTCAGTTTAGAGGTCGTTGGCAAATTCATCTGAGATACACATATAGTTTATGCACATACTTATCTAGTTTGTGTGTATTCTCATTTCACCGGAGATCGCCCAAGACATTCGCCTGCACCCAGGCTGGATCCCACTGATCCGAGGATGGCGGTGCCGGAGGAAGAAGGAGATTCTGGGGAGGCCTCGTGGGCCCTGGGACTTGGGCAAAAGAGAAGACGCCTGCCTGGGTGCCTGGGTGAGGCAAGAGCCGCTGTGGTAGGTGCGTTGGGGATGCCTGGGGCGTGCCTCGAAAGCCTGTGGCTATTAAACGGGCCAAGAACAAAAGAGAAGAGCCTCTCTCCAGACAGGAGAGGAGAACAGTATTGGGCCAGCACCGGCCTGGATCCCTAGGCTGATGATGGACAAGGGGGTCTCTGCCTTCGCATATTTAGATCCGGGTATGACAGTGTGATAGTCCTTCAGTTACAGGCATCCATAAACTCCGGGCTCTGTCTGGGTGCCTAACGTGCTAGCAGCAACCTTTCGACACAGCTGGGGGTTGAAGATTAGTTTTGATGTATTGGGCTCCCTTACTTCGATACTACATTTCGCCGACCATAATTGGACAGATGATATTTAAAATTTTCACAGTAATAAGCTGATTATGAGTTAATACTCACGCATGCACACATGAATACATAGTCTAGGTCAGCAAAAAAGTTTGACATACTTCTCTTAGCAAAACCAAGTGAATTCCCGAACTCACAAGAGCATTCATTTTGGATCCCCCCAAAGACCTTTCACTCTCCGCCTCTCCTGCTTTCTCACCATCATCCCGGTCCCAGATCTAAGCAGTTGCTAGCGTGGGAAAAAGACCTGCTGGGTTCGCGGCTATTAGCCGCGCCTTGGTGCGCAGAAAAGTGACAGTTCCGCCTATTTCCGCGCCAGCCTCACCCGCAGCCTTTGGGAGGCGGACAGGGCGAGCCGTGAATATATTCTTCAGTGAAGTGCTCAGTGGCGGCTTCACAACTTGTCTCTGTGGCGCAATCGGTTAGCGCGTTCGGCTGTTAACCGAAAGGTTGGTGGTTCAAGCCCACCCAGGGACGCGTGGGTTTACGTTTTTGAAACCCAGGGTTGAGTATGTTGAAATCTGTTAAGGTCACCGGAAACCGCGGGCCTCTCCACTGAGAGGTTCTTCATTCCATTCCCCACCCAGCCTGTGAGTTTTGCGTGCAGTTGGCGGGTGTGATTAGGGTTGCTGTTAGCTGCTTATATTCTACGAAATTTTGCTTGAGAAACCGACACTGTAAAAATGTTTACCCACCAAAGGAAGTAAGTACTAGTAAAAACCCAAAATTGTGTTCTTTTACCAAACTTGAGCCTGCCGTGCCGTTGCGCTTGTATTCCTGGCTAATGGCACCTGCATGCCTGGAACTTGGCCCTCAAGTCAAGGTACTTCCTAGTGGTTACCATTTTGGAGAGTCTGCCTTCCAAGTATCTTTTGAAAAGGCATTTTCCTCTCCAGCCTCGCTACAATTTATTCCTCTTTACTTCACCCTGGAGTTACTGCAGTAACTACCTAGCCACCAAGCGGGCCTCCTGTCTTCACGTATCTTCTCCCTTGCATCCTCTAAATAGCTGCCAGAGAGGCTTCCTAAAACGCGGAACTGTTCTGCTTAAAATCCCTCAGCGCCTTGCAGGGTCGGCTCAGGCGGTGCCTTTCACAGTCTGGCCCCAAAAGTCTCTCCCTCACCGACTCTTTAGACTTGAACAGAACCAAACTATGTCCTCACCACCTAAACTCCAGCCTGACACACTGTAGGTACTAAATCGATGTGAGTTGAATGTCCAAAGTTTCCAAATGCTCTTGTCTCATGTCAGAATCTCGTCTAATACACATACGCCAAGCTTGAATTGTCTTGGCATATCGGTCATAACTGACACAGTTAAGCTGACCCTATACCTCAGCTGTACCTCCTCCTTCCTGTTCCTTGCTCTAAAACTACCCTGATTTCCCATGCACCCTCCTATCCCATACTATCCCTTACCACCTATAAAAGTCTCCCTTCACCCAGTTGTCTCAACAAGATTTGGTGAATTAAGAAGCTAATTCATATAAATTGGGATGGGATGTTTGTTGACAGAAGAGGGGTTTTTTTATCAACCCAAATGCGTCTCTGATAGTTTGGGAGAATGGGAGGTAAGAAGAATTTTATCATTCATGTATTATTACCGTGGTTTTTCCATCTTCTATCAGAGAAACACAAAGATTTTGTAAATCGGAATCAAGAAATGTTCTGTTTAAAGTTTCTAAAACAGAAAGAGATTGCTATAACTTTCTTCCATAAGCAGCAATCGCCTTCCCCATCCCCACACCATTGTTACTGACTGACATGCTGAGGAAGTTCAAACTTTCATAATTTATTTCAGCAGAGTTAGTACACTTAGTATTGGTTATCCAGCATTTGTTTAATGAATGATGTGAACAAAGCTATACCTGAATTGATTCTAAAGTGAAGGCTGGTTTTACAGCCTCTGACCCTTGTCTCTCTAATTCTTTCTATCTTGGCCGACCGAAGCGTCCTCACCTCCTGCCCACTGCTTCCTGAGCAGTTGCAGTTGGCTTTCTTGTCAGTCTGAAGGCTGAGCTTTCCCTTGTTGCTGAGCTTCATCTGGGACAGCAGGGCTGCTCTCCTTTCTATGGATACAGGGTTTGTTCTGTGCTTTCTTTCCCAACCTCTCCCCCACCCCCAGCCCCCAGCCCCCAGCCCCCTCCCTAGGACCATTTTCTACTCCTGACATTAAGAGGGTTCATCATTATATACTTGTGGACCATCCCAATTCTGAGAGGGGGTCCCCCTGGAAAACCCAATTCTACGTCACCCTTGTGATTTTCTGTTACCTACACCATGGCTTTATGTTCCAGGAACAGAGCCCAGGCCAGGTCTCCTCAGGTCTGTCCCGGGCTATCTTGTTCTTTCTCAGCCACACCCTCACTGGTTCTGCTGTCTCCCCTAGACCTCCAGCAGTTCCCATAGGTTTTCTGGAAGTTTTCAGGTGCCTTGAAGGCAACCAGCCCTGTAGGAACAGATGCTGACTACTGTCCAGTTGGCCCTCAACTATTCATTCCCTTATCTATGTATCCAGTTATTTAAGAACAACGTGCATATACCAAGGGTCACCATCCGGAGTTTGCATTGTTGCTTTGTGGTGACAGAATGGTTGGGACAGAGGAAGTATCTGCGTAACTCTGAGACTTCAGTTCCTAGCAAGTCGGCTACTCCGTGGGGCTTCACTGCTGGACCTTGAAGATCACAGGCTCTTCCTTTCCATTGGAGACCAAGAGAAGATAGAGCTGGGTGAAGCACCCTCAGCCTAGCGTCTGAGAGGTAGTTTTCCTGCTGCTTCCAGAGCTGCCTGTTGGGGATGATGGGGTTGTGAATCCAGAGAGAGGTTCAGAGATGCAGCTCTCATTACCCCCGTGGAGTGGGGATGCAGCTCTCATTACCCCCGTCTGTCCTAAGAGTCTTGGCTCCATGTGACCTTGCCGCTCCTCCGGTCCTTCACTAAGCGCCGCAGGTCTCTCTGCACAGAGAAATACAGCCCTGTGTCTACTGCAAACAGGAGTCCCATCACCAGGCAGAACATGACTTGGTGCCAAGGTAGAAAGAATGCTGAGATAGATGAAGTTGCTGGACCAATAGGAGAAGCAGAGGGATGAGAAAATAAAAGTTGTTAAGGCTGAAATTTGGAATAAGCAACGATGTCATCTGCGGAGAGTTTCTGACACCTGCCAAGAGACAGGTTCTAAGATTAGTGGGCGGGGGGGAGTCTGGCTGGAAGCCTTTGCTTCCTGGCCCCGAGGACTGATCTTGGTGCTGCCTGCGCAGAACATGGCTCATCAAACACTTAATAAAAGCAGCTTCATGCCTGATGGAGTGTTGAACAAGTTGGGTCATAGCAGGGTTTTGTGTAAAATTATGAAAGTTGTCAAAGTTTAAGTTGGTATGAGAACATTATTTCTTAATTCAGTAACTTCCTCTTGTGTTTCAAAATTATACTTATTGTTTTGAACTCCTTGTTTTTCATTATTACTAAAGGAAATCTTTTAAAAGAGTGAACCATGGCAATTTTCTATTTATCAGCAGAAAATTATGGCTTTCCTGGGGTCCAGTAACTAATAGCCCCAGAGGGAAAGAGGGAAAGTTTGTTGATTTGAAACTGCTTCACCCTTAATATTATTATTAAAAAGTCATTCCTTGCTGTTGTATATAAACTGGTGACATTAGAGTGGACTCCTGGTTTCAATTTTAAACTCTTAATTCTGATTTAATTTCAAACCTAAGAAGATATTACCAGGATAGTATGAATAACTTCACATATTCTTTACCTAGATTACCTAATTTCATTTTGCCCCATTTGCTTCATTATTTGTGCTTTCCCTAACCATTTGAGAGCATTTACTTTTAATTTAAATTGTAATGAAGTTATTTTTATTATAAATTATAGCATTGCTTTGTTAAAATCTGAAAAGGGGTGTGTTTGTCTTGCTATCTTACTACATGTAAAGTTCTTATGATGCATATCTTGGTCTGTAGGTGGAAGTTTCGTGAAATCAGCGTCTGAGGACACCAGGGAAGGGGATCTCCAACCCTGGAGATGACGCTACAGAAACTGGAGATGTTAATCTGGGTGACTTAATGGGATTCAAAATTCTATCATAGGACATTGGTAAATTCTTTCATTTTACCTAGTCGTGAAATATACAGGCTCTGAATCTTTGATGTGGCCTTAGGGATAAATTAATTAACTTTCCCCTTTGTTCTCACCTGAGTTACATCATCTGCAGAGTTAAATTATCTCATAATGTCGTTGTGAGGGGTCACTGTGATCGTTACACAGGGTTCATGTGCAAAAGTCCTTAGCTCAGTGTCTGGCTTCCTGAAAGGTGCCAGCTTGTAATGTTACAGGGGAGGAAGTTGAGGTTCAGAGACTAAGTGACTTACCCACAGTCACACGGTTAATTAGCAGCAGGTTCTGGGCCCTCTCTGGGAAGAAATGAGGGGTTTCTGCTAGGTTGGCTCTTGGCTAACATTTGAGGCTTGGAGGGGAAAGGAGGACAGGTAAAGATGGGCCCGTGCAACAGGGGCACTTGGCCTTGTGGCTTTGGTTTGAATGGGGTCAGGAGGGACAAATGTGTTTATGGAGAAGGAAATGTGGCTTCTGCTCCTGCCATCGCGCTGCAGAGTGACTGACACCCGTCAGAAGCCCATGTAAAGAAATCCGTGGTGCAGTCAGAAATCTCCTCTCAACTCAGCTTCCAGTGTGAATGCAGACTCCATGCACAGGGGGCTCTGGGCCCTGCAGGGCTGCAGAACTTCTCACCTTGAACAGCGATGTTCACAGCCTCTGAAGACTCATTCTTTGTCCCGATAATTCCCCTGCAGAAGTAGGAGCCACTGTGCTTGAGTGCTGCTTTTGGAATGTGGAACTCAGAATTATTGTGGAAAAACATCCTGCCTATGCCATTCTGGAAGTACTGAACCTTATGCATGGTCCTGTTCATCCAGCTGTGGCAGCGCAGCCGGATGGGGTCTCCCTCCTGGAACACCCACTGAGGTGCCTGGAGCAACAGCCAGCCTGAAAGACACAAAGAAACCACTGACCAGGGGCCTCAGCGATCAGCTTAAAGCTCTTGTTAAGGGAACACTCACCACCCAGACGCTGAGGCATAACAGAAAGCCAGGCTGGGCACCATCCCTGCATAGCTCCTGTTGCGAAAAAGCTGACTAGGCCCTGCAGGAGAACTCAAGTCACACCATAACCCTTTGTCTAATGGGCAAGAGGGACACACACACATATGATCGCCAAAACAAAAAGTTAGAACAAGAGGTCTAAGTGACGACATGGTCGGTGAGACGCAACCTGCAGGATCCTCAGGCGCCGTGCTTGGATTTGCTACTGCAGGTGTACGGAGCCACACGTTCTGGTTCAAAGAGCAACAATTGCATTAGAGAATGGCAACTTGTCCCATGAAAGGAAAGGTAGACTCCAAAAGGAATCAACAGTTGTAGGAATATTGAAAGACTCTTGCAGTCAGCCAGGAATAAGGTCACTGGGTGGCCACAGGAGTGACTATAGAAATTGTGAAGGAGAACTTGGTATAAAAGTCAAGGAGGGGAACGAAAGGCATGGCTGGAGGCTCCCATGGTTACTCGTGGCTTCTGAAGGGCCACAGGCCTCAACAAGGCCACCTTCATTCCTGAGTATTGCCTTCAAGAAAGAAAATTCTTACATCACCAGGATTCCTGTTCTTAAAACTGTCTTGCCAACTAACCAGACTCCACACAGAGAGAACATGGAGTCATGGTCAGGAGGCCGGCCTGTATAATTAAAAGTAGTATTACAGATAAATTTTTAAATGACACAAGAGAACATTTGTGAGGCAGTATTAAAAAGACAATACAAAAAAGCATATGTGCACAGAAAAAAGAGAAAGAACATGCACTTAAATATTAACAGGTTTTCCCTGATGGGGCGCTGGGAATCCAGACTACAGGTTGTTTCCATTTTCTCCGTTTTACTTTCATATATTTTTGAAATGGAATCCAAATGATTTTTGTAATAAGAACAAAACAATATAACCTACTCTAATTTAAACCATCTCCCATCTTCTGCTAAACTAAATTGGTAGAACATGAAAATACTCTACTAGGAAGATGTGACAAATAGCACTACTTATTAAGAGCTCATTTATCAATAAAAGGCCCTGTGCCTATATAGCTACTTTTTCAGCAGAGAGATGAATCATTACTAGCATGAGGTTAGGGTTATAAGATTTTATATATACATGTATATATATATGTATAATATTTTATTTTATTTTAATTATTTCTATTATATTATATTCCTTTGGGAGAACACTGTCATTCCAGTCTGTCCTGTCATGTACTTGATAGTGTCCATACACACACTTATTCAGCAAATATTTTATTGAGCACTCATTATATATGTACCAGGTATTGTGCAGCCTGAGAACACCTGGATATATGAACCCTAAACTCAATGAATCTGTTGTCTATACATAGAAACACACAAACATAGAAATAATTACAGTACAACATGGTAACTGCTATAACAGGCTAAGAACAAAGGACTTCAGGGCCAAGGGGAATGGAACAAAGAAATTCTGCCTGAAGAAAGCAAAGAAGGCTTCTCAGAGGAGGAGACAGTGGAATGGGTCCTAAAGGATGATTAGGAGCTTGCCTGGTGCAGTCAGTGCTCATAGTCGCGGTTTAATATAGTCCTCGTTGACTGGACTTCTACAGCTAGTTTCTACAGCCAAGTTCAAGACAACCTAATAACTCTCAGGTTTGATTTTTCTATCACTTCCTGTTGGTGATCCCTCATTTTATCTGGTCTTAGGTGGCCATCTTTCACCTAGGTGATAACAGACATTTCTCCTTGTAGTTCTATAGCCTGAGAATCATGTCAGCTAAGTGGCAGTCAGAAGCCAGTAGGCCATAGAAATCAGCTTCAGGGGCCCAGTTCCGTGGAACTCTGCCATGGCCCGCTCTGGTAGCCCTCCTTCCCCTCCAGGCACGTTCTACCTGTATAACTGCGCAGTCAGGGCAGCCATGGAGGTGGAGCCAGGCTAACAAGGTGACACTGCAGGTACCAGGCTGGGCGGTACGATTCCAGGAGCACCAGGAAAGATCCCAGCCTCCCAAATCTGCCTGCATCTGATGCCTGGATTCAGTTAATAACACAAAGACCCTCATTCCATGACTAGTGGGCAGGAGGAACATGTATATATCTCTGGTAGGAGAGAGATCTCATCACCGAATTTATGCTGAAGTGTCAGTTTGAGTGCGGCATTGAAGGGGAGAGAGAAATGACCCTAGGTGGTTAGGGAGGGGTTGGGGGTAGCCTAGGGCGTTGCTTATCTGAAAGTGCACGGAGATTGAGGTCCTAAGAACAGATGCATTGATTCATTCAGTAAGTATCCTTGAGCATCAGGGTCACGCCCTGGTCTTCAGCTGACATCATTCATATAGTATGTATTCCACATGAATGGTGGTTTCTGGAACTGTGCAAGGCAGCAGTTCTGCGTTTATTTATGCCAGGCTTTGACATTTTGCCTAAGGCCTACCTGTGGCTAGAACTACGACTCCATAGAGTTCATGGGACCACGGCTCCGCTCACCATGGTTCTAACCCTCGAGAACAGCACCTGAACCTTCCCAAGTCTTCCCAGGCCTCTCACCTCACCCTTTAATGGTGATTTCCCTCTGCCCTTTCCCTACTCACTTGTGTGGACGTCCAGCCGCACCGGGTCACTGAGGGCAGAGAGGCCAGTTTGGCACCTGTATTCCCCACTGTCTGGAGCTTCGGCTGCTGCGATGAAGTAGCTAGGGGCCTCGTTAGGGATGAGGCTGTCATTGTGCCACCACTGTGTGGTGGAACTGTTCCCAGTAGGGTGGGCCCCCTGGCACTTCAGAGTCACGCTGTCCCTTCTGAGCACCCTGTCCCATATAGGGTCTAGGAGCAACTTGGCCTTCTGGAGGTCTGCTGAGGAGACAAGAGAACATGGGTAAGGTCAGGGAGAGGCACAGGCCCACCCTGGCATCCCTGGGAGACTCAAAGCCGGGGTGAGCCATTGTAAACCCACAGCTGACAACTCAGCCTTAGTCTGAGACTCAGTCTTGAGTGTCTTGGCCTGCAGACATTTGCCCCCACTTTTGGCTTCTCTTTATCATGAGGAAATTAGCCAGAGAAGCATTGTTCCAGGCTCCACCACATTGGGAACGGCGGGTGCCAACGGCACATCAACAGTTTCCTAAGCAACAGGCGTTTCCCAACCCCCTGTGGCCATTACGCCGTTATGTGCCTCCCTCAATCAGCCCAAGACCATGAAGCAGACTCACCAGCTCGCATGCCAGCAGCAACTGCAAGAAAATGGAGCAAAACAAATATTGAATGGAAGTGATCAGGATGAGTGGAGTGGGGAGCGAGTTTAAATTCCCCTGCCCTCCCCTGCCGGGGGTCCAGTGTTCCTGAGAATCACGGTACATAATGGACAGCTCCCCTGCGGTCTGCCCTCGGGTCTCCAACGCCTGGGCCTCCTGCTCCCCTCCCCACCCAAATCCTTGTCTTCCACGCCGCTCTTCTCGCCCCTTTGTGCCCACTCAGATTCCCAAATCCAGATTGACTGCCCTGAGTCAAGCCATAGAAACGACCATAATCCAAGTCCCTTGGAAAGGATAGAAATTAAAGATCTTGAAGAACTTTGAAATATCAGAATGGAAGAGATAGACACCATCTAGTCCATGCTCTTTAATTTACAGATAGGAAAACTGGGGCCCAGGGAGGTGAAGTAACAGAGACCTCCCAGTCCCCCTTCACCTCCTGGTTATGCGTGAATCAGAGCCAGGATTCTCCTCATTTCTAGCCCCCAAATGGTCTGTCCTAGGAGCTAAATCAAGCGCTGTTGAAGCGGTGAGAAGTCCCACCCGTTGGTAGGGGTCCCATCCTGGTGTGAAGAGGGGTCCCTGCTGAACCCAAGCATCCTGAGCCTCCCTCTCAGCCAGGGGGACCCCGACTTACCTAGAAGTAGCAGACTCATCGGTGGCAGCAGCTGCCCCATGCTGCCGCATCAGAGTGAATGGGTCACCACAGATATCCGGCGTGTAAGGGGCCCGGCCTGAAGAGAGGAAGTAAACAGCCTTTGCCCCAGCTCCCCACCCCATTTGTCACTGGGTTCCCTTTCCGGGAACATCATCTGATTCCTGAATCCGAGCTCTGACTAGCAAGCCCCATGATGGGGCAGGGAAGGCGTGGGGAGGGGCCGGGAAGAGGGGCCGTGGCGGGTGTACCCCCTTGCTCCACGCAGGTCTGCGGCTGAGCATCTCGCAACACAGTCTGTCAGGGGTCACCCTCAAAAATCTCCGGTTATCCGCCCCTGACTCCCAGGTTTGGATCCCCCCAGTGCCAAGACCCGGATAGCACGACCCTGGGTCGTGCTATGAGACACGAGGCACAGCCGTCCCTGCGGGGCCTCTTGGTCTGCCTCAGCGCACTCACCACCCGGCCTGGCCCAGACATGAATCCATCCATCCCCGGCTTCAACTCCTCAGACCCTGGAGGTGCCCCTCACCCCAGTATTATCTCCACCAACATTTTCTTTCAAGATTCAGAATGAATGCGCTCCTGGGATCTGTAATCCGCAGGAGTTACTAACCTCTTAGTGTGAGTTTGATCATGAGATCCACAACTTCTGTTAAAAGACACTCAGGAGGTGGGAGAGAAGTGGGCCCTGGGAGGAGGAGATACCACTGAAAGGCCGAAAGGAATGCAGGAAAGGTGGAGTGGATGCGCAGGGCGTGGAGAGGTGAGAACAGGAGCTTTTACCTTCTGCCAGCGTTAAGGGGCTGTGCTGAGTCACGTAGCTCAGGTTGGCTTGGGCTCTTCAGGGACCCACTGGGCCTGCTCTGGTCTGTGAGCCTTGCAGCCAGGGTTCCAGAAAAGGTGGTGCCCAGGAAGTGGTAAGGTTGTCAACCTCTGCTTTCCTCTAGAATCGCCCACCCCTGCCTCCACCAACACACACATACCCGTACCCTCCCCCCCACCCCACTTTGTTTAACTCACATCAGTCCAGGTCTCAGCAGAAAATCAAATGGCTCTGCGTGGTAGTGCCACTCCCCCAGGGGTTCCTGGACCTCTGGGACACACTTGTAAAAGCTTTCAAGCAGCCTAGGAGGTTAGCAGCAGACAGATGTGGGCCGGTGATGTTTGGTGGGGGTAGCATGGAGGCAGGAGCTGGTACAGCTGCCTGCTGGTCACTGCTTGGGGCCAATGCCCCATTCTACTCCCGAATCATACGAAAACCACTTCTCAGGTTTTGGGTTTTGCTTTGTTTTGCTCCCAGGTGGAGGAATTGATCCTCCCCATTTCCATCCACCCACCCCTTTCCTAGCTCTTGCAGCAGCCCCTTCCCGGCCCTTGGAGTAGATATCTGATTAGCTGGACAATGGAAGTGACCCAGGCAGCTGTTTGGTGCTGCCTCTTAAGTGAATCTTGTACATCTTGCAAAATCCAGGTGAATATCTGAAAATGTGAAGCTCCCCGCTGCAGCACGTCAGATGTGTATGTTGGAAACCTAAAGCGGCAAGTCTTAGGGGCTATCTATGGCTGCTGAAGTGAAAGGTGGAATCCCTCGGCGCTCTCCATTCGTCATGGTTATTTAAGTGGCTTTCTGCCATGTGGCTTGTGGGGCATTCACTTCAGTTTTCCTTCTTTGAGGTTTTAGTTTCTCTTCTGACTCATATTCTATTTGTGACCTTCAAATGGAGGGAGGAATCATTAGTTTCAGAGAGGATGAGCTAGAAGGGAAGAGAGGGGGGCCCAGGAGGACCTTAAGTGGGCAGGACACATTCTATAGGTCTTCACCAGCTGTTCTTTGAACAACCCTCAAATTAAGTGCTGCTGGCATTGTAAGGGTTAATTTTGCAGTAACAGGTGAAAGGTCCGGCGTCTTGGGGCATCTTACACTGGAGCATTTGTCGCCATGGTTGCCTCTTCTCTTCTCCCTTCCTCCTTCTCTTTACTCCCTTCCTTTCCTTCAATATTGACGTGCCAGCCCCAGCGCAAGGTTCTGCGATTACCAAGGTCCATCAGTGATCATCCCCTGGGACTTACAGCTTCTTGGGGGGAGATGTCAAGATAAACATCTGAAGTGCTGTAGAGGCTAGGAGAGTGTTTATGAAGTTCTGTCTATGCACAGATAGGGCAATGGCTAATTCTTTCTGGGGGACGACAGAACACTTTAATTAGATCACAAAAGACCGTGTGTGTTCAGCAGGAAGGGTTTCGACGGAAATAGGCGTCTCAGGCAAAAGCAGCAGCATGACGAAAGATTGGAAATGAAATAGGCCAGCATGCCGGCAGAGCCGGGGACAGCCCCCCAAGATCAGGGCGCACCGCAGAGGAGAAGCACACACTCCTAAAGGGTTAAGAGGGCTGGGTTTCAGATGGTCTGGGGTGGACTCTCAACTCCACCTCTTACTTAACCCTTCCAGGCATGTTTCCTCATCTGTAAAGTGGGGCTAACAGTAATGGCACTGACCCAAGGGAGTGGTGGTGAGGCTTAAATGAAATAATGTGGATAAAATTGTTTTCATATCTGGAAGCACACCTGTGGAGTACAATTACAAGTGCAAGATGGGCGGCTGAGACCATCCCTGGTTTTCTGAATCGATTGTAACACCCCCATCCCTGGGACTCCTTTAGAATCTTGTGCTTCTGCGTAGCGCTCGTCACATTTGTGGACTGTAAAGTCTCCGAGGGCAGGGAACCTGTTCCTCTTGTTTACCACTGTATCCCCAGTCTTCAGCACAGTGCGGGGAACATACTAGGCACTCAGTATTTACTGGGGGATCACGAGAGACTTTGTGTGTCATGGTGAACAGTCCCTGCTTCTTGGACTGCTATGAGAGCACTTTTTTATAAATGTAAAACTGATCCTTGAGAACACTGAAAAAGACAGGTACTGGGAAAATAAGAACTACTAAGAAAGATACCCAGAATACACACAGATAGATACAAGGCACACATGGAGGTCTGGGAACAGACATGCCTACAGAGACACATACAAAAGGCATTCATGGGAAGATGAAGGGACAACTCCCCAAAACAGGAAGAAATAGATAGGCACAAGGAACAAAAACCACAAGGAAATGAAATTGCCTCTGTGGTGTGACCTTAAGCCACAGCCTCTTTCCTTTGGCTGTAGTCCTTAAAATAACAGCCTATTGCTATGTAAGAACTTTCCAGAAATTTGATAGTATTTGCTAAAGCAACTTATAAATGCCTTACTTTGTTATCCCACATCAGAACACGCTTAGACATACACCCACCACCCTCCGCACACACACACACACAAACTTGCAAAATTTTAGTTTCAAAGAAGAGTGTCGGATGCTGGCCAAAGGGAAGAAAATCCAGATTTTGGTTTCAGTATGACAGATGCTAGCAGTCAAGCCACTTCTCCTCCCTAACCCTCCATTTCCTCATCTATAAATGAGGTAACTGGGCTAGATTATGTCTAGCTCTTTCCATCTTAAATATTCTATAGTTCTGAATGCTGGCTTCCAATGGTAATTTCTAGACGTTGCAGAATGTCTTCTAAAAATCTGAATGAAAGGCCATTGGACAACTTTTGGGAGCCAAAGGAATTTTCTAGCAGAGCTGGCCAATCAATATCTCTAAGAGTTAAAAGTTAATCATGAGAACTGAACTCATGCCTTCACTCACATGCAAACTAGTCAGAACCTTCTAGGAAAATAAAAGGTAACATCAAAACAGAAACCTTAGTTTTGAAAAGGAAATTGAAACACTGTTTTGTTGTTGTTGTTGTTAGTGCCATTCCTTTGGAGATGAGAGGGAGTTTGGAGGCATCAGTGGGAGTATGAGCAGAACCCAGAACCATCCCTAGAGATTCAGTCCTGTCCTTCTCACCAATGTTTTGTTGTTGTGCTAAACAACTTTCTGTTTGAAAATACACACATGATCTATAATATATCCTTGCTGTTAAATAAGTAAAGATATTCAGAAGAAAATAAAGTAAAAGTGAAAGCAACACTTTTAATGACCTTTCTTGTCTAATTGCACTCCCTTCCTCAGGGGTAATCCCTGAGAGGTTGGTTGGGTCCTTCCAGAACTTTCCCTACACAGTCATATTCATGCACACATGTATCTACCTATACATATTTACATTTTGTTCATTTAAAAAAGTATTTTAAATTGAAATATAGTTTACATTTTATTCATTTGTGTTGTTACTGTTTATATACTTTAGAAAAAATGATAAAAATAATTTTGTGGAATGTATGGAAAGGAAGAGCCGGTGTGACTCCTTTGACTTTCTTGTTTCCTTTAAAGACTCGGGTTATTTTCAGCACCAGAAAAGGGGCTTTCTCCTCTCAGACACTGGCCGCTCCACAGCCATTGCTCCCTTTCTTCTCTGTTAACAGAACATGACTTTGTTTAGATGTGCGGTGGCCATGAACTTTGGGGAAGGCTGACCCTGTCCCAGCCCCAGGAGGTGATTCTTGGTTAGTCTAAGTCGGTGCTTCTCAAATATGAGCTGCATCAGAATCACCTGCAAGGTTTGTTAAAATGCGATTGGTAGGCCTCACTTTCAGATTTTCTCATTCTGATGGGGCCCAAGAACTTGCATTTCTAACAAGTTTCTAGGTGCTGCTGTTGCTATTGATCCAAGGACCACACTTTGAGAATGAATTCCCTTGTCAGTGATTAATGTAGGGCTGAACACGTGACACAGTTTTGGACAGAAACCCTCGGGAGCAATCTGCTGGTGGGGGGAGGTTCTGGGGCACAAGGATTCTCTAGTCAGTCTTGGGACGTGGTGATGTTTCAGGGTGTGACACTGGAAACTGCTAAGATTTCTTGCTGTGATGAGGGAAGTGGCTGACATGCTAATGATGGCAAAGCAAAGAGAAGGAAGAATCTGGGTTATTACTGGTGACAGTATTGAGTTATAGATGAACCAATCCAGGAATTACACTATCTTCAGGCAACTTGAAGTGTGTAAGCCGCTTGAGGGGAATTTTCCAGGATTTGCTGCAGAAAGTCACCTATATACACCTCTCCTTCAGAGCACAGGGAGACTCCAGCTGATGTAGACACAGTTGCAGTTCACTGAAGCCAGAGTTTGGACATTTTTAGGTTGTTTCTAATATTCATTATTTTTAATGGTGCTACAAAAAGCGATAGTGTGTGTGTGTGTGTGTGTGTGTGTGTGTGTGTGTTATTTCCGAAGGCCGTTTTCCCAGAACTGAAATTACAGTGTCATAGGTAGGCACATTTCTAAGCTTTTGATAGTATTTCCTAATTTCTTTCTAAATCATCTGTTTTAATTCAGCTTCCACTCAGAAGTCTAGGAGAATACATTTCATTACATTCTTTTTTTAATCTTATGTAATAGATGACAAATGGGTTCTCATCATTTTAATTTGCATTTCTGTGATTACTGTGTGTCTGATTATCTCCCATGCATGTGTTTACTAGTTGTATTTCCTCTTTTATGTTTCTATTAGGTGGAAAATACTTAGCACAATGTCTTGCATACTTAAGATATTTAATGTTGGTCTAAATGTTTTAGAGACTTCTGTCGACATCCCTTCCCTTACCTATTTATCAGGACTCTATGTTTTTCTTATTAATTGCTTGTACAATAAAAATACCTCTTTTGGGGGTTGTCATATATTTTTTAAACCTTTTTTTCCAGATTGCACTTGTTAGTTTATTTTGGGTTGATTTTAGTTTTGCATTATTTAGAAATTAAAAGTTTTAGAGGATCTTCCTTTTTCCTTCTAAGCTTAGAAATCTTTCTTTCTTTAGAAAGCTTGATCAGTATTCAGTTCTGTTT